ATATATATATATATATATATATATATATATATATATATATATATATATATATATATATATATATATATTAGACATTTTTATTATTAATATTTAAGACATTGATCAGAGAAAGCTGTTACTTACTATGCAAGAACTGACCCCACTATAGGGGAATTACTATACGTCACAAGCAGGGGCGATTTTAGATTTTTCATTTTAGGGGGGCTCAGCTTCTTTTAAGGTAAAAAAAAAATAAATTTATATATATATATATATATATATATATATATGCTGAAGTGCCAGAAAAAAAAAACATGAAATAGCGGCCGTTAAATTACATAAATGTACCATAAATTAAAATATTAAATTACAGAAATTTTAATTTAAGAACATTTTCAGAAATTTTAATTTAAGAAAATTTCTTTCATTTAATTTCCGTTACTTTACAGTATTTCTGTAATTTACGGCTGCTATTTCACGTTTTTTTTTCCCGGCACCCCAGCTGCTGGAAATAAACCGTATTACAGATTTTTTTATAGTGTACAGCCAATTTAGCTTACCCAATCCACCTATAGCGCATGTGTTTGGACTGTGGGGGAAACCGGAGCACCCAGAGGAAACCCACGCCAACACGGGGAGAATATGCAAACTCCACATGGAAATGCCAACATACCCTCGAACCAGCAACCTTCTTGCTGTGAGGGGATCGTGCTACCCACTGTGCCACCGTAAATATGTAATATAATTTAAATAAACATATATATAATTAATAAAGAATCTAAACATTTTAATATTTATAGTGAATAAACATACAAGAAAGCACAAAATGTGTTTAACTTTAATTAACATGAATTAGAATTAATTATATAATTATATATTGATATTTAGGCACTAAATTCGGGGCTGCACGTTGACCCAGTGGGTAGCACAATTGCCTCACAGCAAGAAGGACGCTGGTTTGAGTCCCGGCTGGGACAGTTGGCATTTCCGAGTGGAGTTTGCATGTTCTCTCTGGGTTTTCTCTGGGTGCTCCGGTTTCCCCCACAAGTCCAAAGACTTACCCTATAGGTTAATT